AAGGACAAATCAGTTTTGAAGTGCGGAAGTAAAAATTTTGTAGTTAGAAACAGGTATAAAATTACAATCTAATTTAATTTTATCTTGAATACATGAATATACCAAAATTGGCTCATTTTTGTAAGAAAAAAATAATGCCTTACAGGCTCGTCATAATTTCCTTGATTTTCGTGAGATCTTTGTCTGCAATTTTATATTGTCACCCAGTTGCTGTGAAGGGTGTTTCTATGTAACTAGAAATGGTAGAATATGTCAATTCGAAATAAACAAAATGTTAGCAGATATGTTAGCCTAATTTTCTATTGCTTATCAGTTTTGTTGTGTTGCAGAAAGTTGGCTATCTCCACCTATAAATCTTTTCATAAAATGGCGGCAATATTCGTATTTTGTCCTTCATTAAACTGATCATTTCGTCAAAATCCTTTGCCTTTCTTTCAGTCTCACAATAATCGCTTTCAGCTTCTTCACTGTCCATCAGTTGATCGGGTATGACGTCGATAGTTTCTGCAACAATGTTTAAGATTTTTGATTGCTTTTCGGTCAGTTTGGTTTTTACTTCGTCGAGTTTGCGTTTGCCGTAAGAAGCTCTTGAATGCTGCGGAACAGAATGCAGCTTTATCGGACTAACGTCAATATCTTCAAGTGTTAAGTCAAGGTTTTCTTTCTGTTGTTTCCAAGCTCTTTCTGAAAAGCATACATCTGGATCATTATCATCATCATTCCCTTCTGAGGTTTTCAATCTTTCAGACATCTCTCTCCGACAAGTTGGGCATAACTTTTGTCCAGGTACCACGTAAATATTGATTTTATGATAGCTTTTCGAAGATACTATTGACACTTCCCTCAAAGAGCCTTTAACAGGATTCTTATGCTTTTGGAAGGGGTCGCAGCACTTCTTCTGAAAAGCGCCGTACTGCGCTAAAATTGTTTGTTCGTGATGGTGACAAATTGTAAATTCTGGTCCTATTTCCAGACCTGTTCTTAAAGAAATTAACTCCGCTTGCTCTTTAGTCAACGACTTGCTTCTTTTTATCCCAACTGATCTTGTGTAGAACCGAGAGTGACACTCTTCTTCAGATGACTGCCAATTGAACACTTTTCCAGAAACTTACTTACAGACATTTTTTTAAACGCGGTAGAAATCTTTCTGCCTCTCGTTACTAAAACTAGACAAAACAGAGGTCGGAAACTTTATTTCCGTTTTGAATGGAAATAAGGAAGCACTAACTGGCTACAAACTGATGCTTGCAGATTCCTTCATGCTGATAATTATCACTTTACCATCATAAGCGGATACTAAGATTATGTTTCACTAACATGATTTTTCAAGGTCCGTAAATCAAGCAATTTTATTCGTCGTAGCTTTTCAACACTGAGCCATATTTCATTTACAACACTGAATAGTATAGTAATTATGTTTTAAAATTTTAACTCAATTTAAACATCAATAAGATACAATTACTGATAACATCTATTAAGCAATATTGTAGTTAAGTTCCCGTCGACAACGAATATTGCCGCCATTTTATGAAAAGATTTATTGGTGGAGATAGCCAACTTTCTGCAACACAACAAAACTGATAAGCAATAGAAAATTAGGCTAACATATCTGCTAACATTTTGTTTATTTCGAATTGACATATTCTACCATTTCTAGTTACATAGAAACACCCTTCACAGCAACTGGGTGACAATATAAAATTGCAGACAAAGATCTCACGAAAATCAAGGAAATTATGACGAGCCTGTAAGGCATTATTTTTTTCTTACAAAAATGAGCCAATTTTGGTATATTCATGTATTCAAGATAAAATTAAATTAGTTTGTAATTTTATACCTGTTTCTACAAAATTTTTACCTTCAGCACTATCAAAAAGATTTTGTCCTTTTGATTTCTTGTATCTTCAAGGAAAAAGTGTTTATTTGCAACCTTTTCGAGTGAAGTCTGAAAGATTCTTAAGTAATACAGCCTTCCCATGGTGTTCAATGTTGCCGCACCCATAAGTGGGTGTGGTCCACTGTACATTATCCACTGTAAAAAAGTGATAGATAACAAATCTTCAATTTAAATGAATGCTTTGCTTATTGTGTACACAGAATGAGTTGATTAAACTTCAAATATTGCTAGTTATATGTCTTCAAACATACACTTTACATTAAAAAAGGAACTTTCGCACAAGAAATTTGACAATATTTTCAGTTTACTTTAGCTGCTTGTAGCTTTTGAACAAGAAGAGACACCAAGTCAGAATTCAATATTTTGGTACCTCAATGTACCTCAAATTTAACTGCAAAAATTCATTCTGGTGCTACCTGTCAAACATCATGAAATTCCAAAATGAAATTTGACACAATTGTCTTTTCGGAATCTTTCAATTTTTCAACCCCAGCAGAGATTTCTATAAATAGAATCTTTCAGATCTGTCAGATATTCATTTTGATGTCATTTTTGAATTCCTCATAGCTGAATTTACATAAATAAGTTCATTTTGATATGTTCTGGTCATTTTCTTTTCAGATATTAGAATTTGGTTTTTAGTTGTCCTCTGTATGAAAATCCAAGATGGCGGATTCTGGTAATTTTACCTAAAAATTCTTGAAAATTCAAATCTGGATATCTCAAAAAGTACTAAAGATAATGGTCTGAAATTTTGAGAATGAACTATTCTTATCAGTTGGCACATGATATATGAAAATTGGCAAAATCTGAGATGGTGGGTGACATTTCCATTTTTTTCTTGGTGATTTGACATGGAATGACCCTATAGGTTATATATTTATGAAATAAAAAAAGCAATAATGTTTCTAATAGAAAGATGCTATTTAAAAAAAAAAGTTTTCATGGTTCCATGGTTATATTTGGTAGCATATTGAAAGACAGTTGAAGAGCTTTATTTTATTTGTCTTTATGCTTGTCGGCCCTTTTCATCTTTTTCCTTTTGTGCACCTTTATCTCTCAAAATTTAAAGATATGCAGCAGTGACTATTCATCTAAAGCTATTGCAATTTATTATGTCAATTTACTATAAAGAGTTTGATTTATTTTGTAAATATGCAATAGACTCCTGGAAAAAACTTTTTTATATTAGATGACAAAATATATATAGTCAATTAACAATCTTTGACAACAAATTGAGAGGTTATTCCTATATTTTAGGTTTTGACCTTTCTGTTGAGCATCCACACACATATGTAGTCAAGTGTGCACAGATGGTAAAAGGTCAGTAACATTTAATTTGTTTGCTTATTTTTTATTATCAAATACCTGTCTCACAAAGTTCATCGAATAGTTTTGAAAACTGCTCATTTTCTCCTTTTTCATGTGCCACTGGCAAAGTTTCAAAACTTCTTGAAAAAAGTGGTTGGAGTGTCCCAGTAAAATGAGGAACTGAAATGGAAGATTTTGAGTTGACCATCTTAAAGCCATGGCACAGTTTGATTATTACAAGATTGAAAATCAGATTGAAATTGAAAGGGAAATTAAGCTTTGTTTGAAGTTTAAAGATATTTTCCAAATTCAAAGTTTCTTCAAAGTCAATGCCCTACAGACTTGTTTGCCTATGTTACCCTGGTTTAGTTAATATATATATAATGAAGATATATAGTATTCAAGAATTCAAAGATGGGTATGTATTTAAAGGAAGCTGTGTGCTCATGGGAAAGAAGGGGACAAATATCTTTGAATATTTGATTTGTTTTGTTGCAGCTGCCAAAGAATTGGCTCAGACATCCTATTTCCTAGCAACAAATTGGTGAGAGTCCCTTCTATTGGCTTCCAGTCGGACCTATTTGTTGTTCAATAGCACTGATTTGTAATGCAAGAGTATTAGGATATTGATTTGTGGCATGTCTTCTCAAAAGCCTGCAGTGGCAAAGGATTTTGACCTGTAACAAATTTGTCAAATATACTTATTTATCTGCTTTAAACAGGGCTCATTAGAGTAAGAAGCTTACAGACTTTAATTTTCATGTGTTATGCTATGAATAAGTGGAATAAGCTTTTTGCTGCAGAATTTCAGGTTTGTGCTCAAAAGCTAAAACATCTTATATCATTCTCAAACACTTTTCATTCAACACTTTTCATGAAATGTTTGATAATGACAAAGAGGTGCATGAAAATGGAAATGATTATTTGAGTGCTAGATTTGTTATTTTGAGCTTGGAGGATAAATTGAAGATTTTTTTTCTACAGAACTTTTAAGTGTTAAATGATAAGCTTCAGGATGCATCTATATATTTGATCAGCATCTTCATCTTCTGTTTGCTTGTAAGAATTTAGCAGTTGTTCCACATTAATCTCAATAAGCCTGTATATCTCTTCATACAGCCTTCATCTGACAACGTTCTGCATTGAAGAAAAACCAACAGTTGTTGCTTGTGTCTGCATTTTTGTAGCTTGCAAGTGGATGAGCTATGAGGTAGTTTTAATTATGATGATACATTTCAGATACACTTTTACAAATGTATTCCTTCATAATTTCAATTATTAATCTTTTTATTGAAAATAAGCTAAGGTTAGCCAAGATGTTAAATTCGTAGTATAATTCTCCATATATTGGGTCAGTATATTCATAAATATGATTTTATTTGACTAATATTGTCAAATGATGAATGTTTTATCAGTGTTTTTATATCTTTTAGAAAGTAAGATAGAAAAATTGCATGAAAAAGTCTTAATTATTATTGATCAAGGTTAGCTGTCAAACAAAGATTTATTTTTTTATCCATTTTTCAGCTTTTTTGTCAGTATAATATTCTCTCAGCCCCTAACTCTTTCGCTTTTACACATGATAAATTCAAAATAAGGTCAAAATATATAAACAATTTAATAATTTAGACATGTGTAGATTTAGACAGCCTTCTCTTGTAATTGAAGATCCCAGAGACACAGGACAAAAAACACTGGTGGGAGTTCATGGACAGTAATACAACTATAGAAAAAATTGAAGGTAATTACCTCTGCTTCATGTTTTTTTATTTGCAAATTTTTGTGACTGGAACTGTTTTATATTAAGTTATTGGGAGGAATTCAATATTAATTTTAGAAGTGAGCAGTTTTAAGCTGAAAGGAGCTTTAAGCTGAAGTAATGTTTTTATCTTAGGCCATCAGTTTTGGAACAGTCAATGTACAGAATTATTTTAGGACAGGGGTGGGCAACCTATGGCCCGGGACCAGAATACTGCCCGGGACCAGAATACTGCCCAGGACCAGATTATGGCTTGGGGACCAGAATCCGGCCTGGGAAGAGAATTTTTTCAAAGCTGCCCACCCCTATTTTAGGAGAACACCTTCGATCTGTTTAAATGTCAGATATACCACTGTGTTGTTTAAAGACATGAGCAACTTCAAGGTAAGGATCCACTTGAATGGTTGCAGCGAAATCAAAGACGAGAACGTATCTCTCTTAATAGGCTTGCATTTGTTCAGCAAGTCTACTTCATCTCAGCTGAACTAGGTTTTTTTATGTAAGAAGAAATTCGCTGGATGGGCTGTCCACGGAATTCTGTGAATCTTGCAGTGATTTTGGATCAAAGGAAAAGACAGGAACAAAGCTTAACGACGACGAGAACCCAATACGTTGAAAATCGAATTTGAAAGTAAATTAAATGTACAAGTGATGTTTTGACCTGCAATTCAGGGCTTGATCAGGGTAAATGTGATGATGCTAATGTAGGATTTTTCATATAAACAAACACTTTAGGCTCTATCTGTTTTTTTTCTAGAAATGAGTTCCTCTTTTATAAAGATATTAGACAGCTGCCCTACCAGATTAAAAAAGAAAATTTCAACTGGCCCTGTTATTTACAAGGTATTTTGCCATTTTTCTGCTACAATTTTGCCATTGTGGAATCTTGTATTTTCAATGATATTTTTCTTCACATTTGTTCTTAGCATTTTGTAAATTTTAGAATGTCTTGTTAATGCAGATATATCCAAAGAATAAATATATCTTGCAATGGGAACAAATCTAGGTTTCGATTTTTATGATTTTAGTGATTTTTCTGGTTTTAATTTATTCGATTATTATTTATTTCTTTATTTATTAACCATGATGGAATTGCTACGATCTTATTCTGTCGTTGGACTGAATCAACCAACTGCTGTTAAAATGGATGTTGTATCAAATCGATCAAAAACACAGGAAATTTTAACTTAGATTTTTAAGAGTTAACAAAAGTAAACTATTGAATATGCCCTTCTATTGCTTTCTACTTGCATAATATAATTTTTTATTTGTATAGGGTGGTTCGCTGCTGCCTAAACGTGATTCAGAAAGCGAAGGTAGCCGAGCTGACAAGCAAACAGATGCTAATGCTAATAAAACATTCGATAAGATAGATGGTAAAAGTTCCACGCATGTCTCTAGCTTAGAAAAACCGAGCGACACTTCTGCACGGAAACATGACCATTCTGTTGATGGGAAGAGAGATCACGCTGACTCCGTGAAAAGACCTTCGAAGCATTCTAGTCAAAGCGACCATGATAGGAAAAATACGGAACATCATAAGCATCATAAACATCATAAACACAGCGACCGCGAGCATGGAAAACGTTTACACGATCGAAACAAAACTGTTGATGACTCACAGGAGAAAAAGGCTGGCCAGAAGCGCTCTGAACTCTCAAACGCTGAGAGGTCTAGCTCGGATGGTAAGCAATCGTCAACAAGTAACCGATCAGTGGACAATAGCAAGTCAAAAACATCATCGAAAGAAGATATTTCTGCCGAAGCTAAGTTCATCTTATCATTACCACCTTTACATCATAAACACAGTCTGCCTGAAGTTGACAAATCGTCATCGACTTCAGAAACGCCTGCGAAGAAACAAAGGGTTGAAGACCCTTCGCACAAAAAGCAGAAGCTAGAGTCAGATGCAAGCAAGAGTAGCTCTCACACTAGCTCTGGTTTAAACATGTCTTCTAGTAGCAACAGTAGTAGTAATACTGTTCATAAGAAAATGAAATCGTCATCCGAAAAACACAAAAACAAACCGCCAAGTGAAAAGCATTCAGAGGCGTATAGACACCAGCAACAAATGTCAGAAAAGTCGTCACACGGCCAAAAGCATCACACGAACTTTCCAGACAAGCATAGCAAGGAAAGGGCGATGAAATATGAACAATCAAAATCTGCCAGCACTCGGGGAACCGAGGGTAGCGAGAAACTACACTCGAGGATAAAAATCGAGAATACATCATCACCATATAAATCTGGGGATGAAATCAGTAAAAAGGATCCGTCACTGGCTAGTCAAAGCTCAAAGCATTTACAGGCTCCCTTCAAAGCATCAAGTAGCGAGAGAAAGGCACAAAAATCGACGCCAAAGAAAAATGGACATACACAGAAAACAAATACTAAATCAGGTTCACTTTCTGACGACTCTCTGTTGCCCCCGCCCCCTCCCCCTCCTTCAGTAGAGGTGTCTTCTTTATTAAGTTCTCCTCCTCCACTTCCTTTTGGCCCTCCCGAAACAGAGAATAAACAAGCACCAGCCCCCCCGAGCACCGTGGAGTATGAACAAAACTCGTCGCTACCGCTAACATACAGTGTGCCACAAGTTCAGCAGTCGGTCGTTAATCAAGGGGGTTTGGTAGCTGGTCAAGTAATCCAAGGCCAAAATCAACTACCCCAGTCAACCTCACTGCAAAGTCAAGGACAGCAGGCACTGTTTCCTTTGCAGCATCAAGTGTTACAACAACAGCAGGCAGCTGGAATGGCATCTCAAGGATACCAGGGAGGACAGGCTCAATTTTTAACCAATGCGCAATCGACTGCATCTTCAAGCACCTATGGTATTCCCCAGGTGTATTTCCAAGGCCAACCTGATGGCCAGACTGTCAGTTCTGACTCATCCCGGGTTTATGGACAAACAATAAACACTGCAAACTTATTTTCTTCAAACATGGGGCTTCTGGCACAGCCCCCTCGACCACCGCAAGGCTTGGTTCTGCAACATGTCATGGGGTTGCCGCCCCCACCTCCTCTTAACCTACCCCCGTTTCCTCCTCCTTAGGGACATCTTTTGTGAATTTATACATTTACTAGTCTGTCCATTGCTTTTATAAATTAACGTAGACTTTAGTGGACCTTAGACATAGAAAGTTTCATTAGTAATTTTCAAAGCACTTTACCTGTAGGTAGGTTTATAAAAAATCATAAGTAGGTATTGTACCCAATTTGGATCTTAATCCCTGGAAAGCGTCAGCTGTCGCTGTGTGCTGTTCAAGATCAGCAAATAGTTACATTGGACATATAATGGAAAATAGCAGATACTTTTATTCTAGTTCAGACTAAAACTTTTTAACAACTTTGAAATTTGCTGAAGCTAGTGGAAGGAGTGAATTCAGTTGCTCTTAGATTAGATGGCTCGTAGGGATTTGATTCGGAGGGTCTTTAAAGGGTTTCCAATGATTGATCAGTCATTATATAATTTTTCATCACCGACACACCTTTGTGAAAATTATGTAGGGTCTATTTGAAAACTAGTTGCAGCTGCAGTAAGGGTGGAAGCTGCAGTAAATATTTGATTGGGTGCACGTATATTTATATATACGCCCCTCGTAGTTAGAATTATTTTTTAGTTTTCTCCACTGGAAAGGCCAATTGATTTTTTGCCGGCTGATGTGTAAGAATACCTCTAACATTTATGAGTTTGTACAGGTTTAGTTACATTTTGTAATTAATTTGGGTTAAAATGGCTTCTAAATTTGCGAAGCCTAGAACGATAGGTTTAGTTACAAATTGGATATAGAAGTATTTAATGAGGTCCACGAGTCACCTGTTCTATTATATATATTAAAAACTGAACAAAGTCTTGAAAGGCTATTCACAGATATGTTCATGTGCAAGTTTGCATAATTGATTACTGGAGATAAACCTTTTCTTGTCTATAGGGTGTCCACAAACTGAAGTTTTTATAGAAATTTTCCTCCCCGGTCTTTGTCAAAAAATCTAACTTCCCATAATCTAAGCGGAAATTCAGATTTGGGTCGGTACAGAATTAATATTTTATGCCTATTGTAATAAAAATTCTTTGAAAAACAGGAATGTTTCCCCATAACTTGAAGACACCACTGCTACCCAGCGCATATTTTGATGTTTTCCCTGTCCATTCTGTTTCATTGTGCTGTATCGTGTTTTCTGTATCTGTAAGGGATTTTCATGAACCCCCTCCCCTCCACCCGAGATCGAATGCAAGGCCTATGGTGGATCTTAGGTATCTGCAAGAGAAAACATTGACCCAGGCAAACATTTATTGTTATTATCACTATAAAATTGTATTTGGAATAACTTTTTTATATTTTAATTGTCTGCATAATAAAACAGACTGGCGGTTGACAGTGAAATTACAATATGTCGCATAAGTGTTTGATAAATTCGATACAGAAAAGTTGGGTTTTGATCTTGTTTAGTTCTTTGTTATTGCTACCAGCGTGATAGTGGCAGCCTTTCCACTAACCCGGCTTTAAACAAAAAACAAGTTAATAGTTATCTGATAAAACTGGTAAGTTTTAAAACGAAGTCTCGAGGTGAATCAGTTTTAACTGTTTTTAAGTTTTTAACCCATGTAGTGGCGGACTGGCTCGGAATTTTAACCGGCCACGAAGAACTGAAGAGGGCCCTTGTTAGCGTGGTCTGAAAATTAGGATATGTAGCTCTGATAGCAAAGCTGAATTGTTGATTACGAATAAACGCAAATTGCACAAATTAAAATTAAATGATAAGCATTCTGTCTGATTTGGATTTCAGTAAATTTGCGCAGGAGTTCTGGGGCCAACTTGCAGATTCTTTCCTAAATTATTTTCTTTATGCTGTACAAAAATTTGATATTTTAACCATAATGTCATAGCCAAATCAAAATAGTAAGGCTTCTTCTAAGTCAGGGGTTCTTATGCCGGGCCTTATGACGTTATGTTCTTATTGCATAGCATGTATTATAAAACTGCACAAAATTATATCTCATACCTACCAGGATAAAGTATTTATTAGATATCTTTTCATGTTAGATTTTATATTCATAGATCGTTGACCATCACTTACTGCTGGTAGCTCACAAAAAGGACCAAATTTGTTGGCAAATTGTTCAATTCACTCTCCACAACTGTTTTGTTTACTAATTATCTGAAATATTCCTTACTTGGATGCCCTATTTAAGGTTGTCAGTCTAACGTGGATGGATAATGACTCTCAAACATGAATAACATAAGAAGCGTTAATGAACATTAATGTGCTAAGAAATCATTGCTTTCACTGATTAACAAGAAAATATGTTTATGAAAAAAATAGGAAAATTGCCTGCTGATGATTTTCTTGCTTTTTGAAATACATTTAAGTACATAAATTACTATTGCAAAGACATAAATTGAATTCCCTATGGCTAATTCACCAAGGATTGGGTTTCCGAAATCAGAAGTAAGCGTTTTATTCTTGGGCGTGGCTAAAAGGGCTTCTTCGCTACTGGATTAACCGGATTACATTATTTACTTCACAACCGTAGGTAAGACCATTTTTGAGTACATTCAGTTTAAACCGACTCCTTTTCGCAATTAAAAAAGGCCACGTGATCACAATTTACCCTTGTTCTTATAAGAAAGTCTTGGCTCTTTGTTACAATAAATCATAATCATGCTGCTATAAGAGTTTTAGCAACTTCAGTGGTTAGTTCACGTTAAACTACAGAATTTCTTATGCTTGTTAAGTTTTTATTATATTTTCTGCATATTTCAATGTAACATAATACTGCCCGAGATGTGTTGATGAACGACTCTCAAATCATAATGCAGTCAACATCATTCTTATAATTAGGGTTTGGCATCAGACAGGTCTACAGTATCAATATGGACGTTAAGTCAAGCAGAAAAGGTTGAGTCAAGCACAATATGGACATTGACCCATGCAGATTGAATGTCCTTACAAACCTTTCGTTTTGCTGTAACTCCTTCTAACACAAGGCTTCTCTTTTTCTAGAGAAAACAACTTGCTCAAGATATAATATTTTCCTTTACGTAGAGGTGCCGCAATTAAAAGGCGCCACAGTGCTTTATTCATATGGTTAAAATCTAACTTGTGTTGTATCCAAAAGGAAATACTCAGATTTCTCCTCCGCGGAGGCATAACGTCTCAGCGCTAACTGTTTCACCCCCGTTCTCACCCCTTAGATCCATCACCATCACTTTTCTGAACCCCTACATATGTGGATACTTGAGAATGACCACAGCAGTTTGTTCGCTTTTAGGTGGCACCTACCTCTAAAATTAACCTGGTCTAATTAGCCTTTGCCCGGTTGCAGATTATTTCGACAGGAGCAATAAACAAGCACACGATTAAGGGTGGGGAAATTTTCGATTCTTCATGTTTCCAGATGGCTCAAAAATGCAATCATTGAAGCAATTTTTACAACCTTACAGTTAAACCTGCTCTAACAATTAGAATTGATATATTTGATGGTTTTAGTAAATTTCTGGTAATTGTTGTCATGTTTAAGCTTATATAAACCGAGATTTTCACAAAAACAAAAAGGATTTCCGGGGATTTTAAGATAAAACAAACGGATATCCAAAGAGAGTGATTTGCCCCTCGAAATAAACTATTTCTTCTGACTATTCTTTTTTCTTTCTTTATTTGAAGTTAGTACAATTTCTAGCTATGCAAGCTAATTAAAACCAACTAATTTAAATTACCAATGCTAAATATAATATAAATCAAATATAACCGATGTTGCTTACGTATTCCTTGCAAAGATTACAAGTACAATTGAATGATGTAAATTCTGAGAATTTTTTCTTGAATATTTGTAAAGTAGGGGAGTACTTTATCTCGTTTGGAACAGAGTTTCGTATTTGGCTACATCTGTATGATACGGTATTAAATCCATATATTTTATAATGTGGCTCCGCTGTTTTGAATTGGGAGTTTTTTAAGTAATATGGGCATTCATCTGTGGAAAACTTTTCATCCATAAAAGGTGGATTCAAACCGTTAAATGTTTTGCAAATTTCTATCGCAAGATATTGTAAATTTTTCCTGTTAGAAGTTATTGTTTTATTCTTTATTAAAGTTGTTCAAAAGTTGATTCATAATCATCATGAGCCATTCTTATTGGTCTTTCATGAATCCGGTTTATCCGGCTATCATTTTTCCTACTGCAAAACATCCAAATAAGAGCACAATAATTAAAATATGATAGCATGAACGTTTTCATTAAAAGAATTCGCTTAGATTCGTCCATATACGAAGCAATCCTGGCTAGAGCGTTCACCTTTTTCCCAGCTTCTTTACAAAAAACTTCTTACTTTCTATTATAGTTGAACCATTTATTTGAATGTTAGATTCCTCTAAATTGGATCTAGAAAGCGCCTCCGCGAAGGGGGGGGGGGGGCGTGGTCGTCGCTATTTCCCCCATGTTTCTCAAAACGATAGACTTCTTCAAAATCTTTTGTTATGATAGTTAAATTTTTTCTTGCCCTTAAAACTTGACTTGTTCTTAAATTAATAGTGTGTAGGCAGTGCGATTGCTAGCTTTTTCGCTCTAGGGAGGTGTTCAGGCCTCATTTGCCAACAAAGTTAGCGAGAGAGCCCAGTGGCGGCTCCAGCCTGTGATTAGTGGGGGGGGGGGACAAAAGGTGTGTCAGGGACAACGTATAAAACACAGCAGCAATTCTTGGAAGGAATCCCCTGCATTTTATTTTAGACAATTAAAGCCCACACCCCCCCCCAAAAGGGGCTATTTTATCAGAAAGTCTCTGAAATTTTGCTACTTTTTTCCCAAATATGTACAGTTATT